TTTGTGCAAATGAGATTTGAATTACAAGCATTTTTAAATTGTGTCTAGCACTTGAAGCTGGAACATGTGAATTCAATGGGGTGACCTATAAGGATGGTGATGTATTCCAGCCCAGCTGCAAATATCACTGTTGGTGCTCGGATGGAGGAATTGGTTGCATCCCACGCTGTAGTGAAGATGTTCGTCTGCAGAGTCCAGATTGCCTTTACCCAAAACGTGTTGAAATCCCAGGGGAATGCTGTCCTCGCTGGATATGTGAGAAACAAGACAACGGTATCTTTGGCAATGCCTTGGCAGGTAATTATTTGGGGTTCTTTGGCAACAGATATCTTTGGATTACATACCAATTATCAGGAGCAGCGGAAGCTAGTCATAAGATTGATTTGATTGGCAGATCAAATGATCAGTAGAGGCATTCTTGATGTGCTTGATTCTGCTTAGTACTCATTTAGCTGGTTCGGTATGTCACATAAACATTTCTCTAACATAAAATAATTGGATTGTTATGACACAGGGACAGCATACCAAATTAAATCAGCCTCACTAACATTGGATTCATAACATAATGAGATTAAATATCCAGTGGCCCTCAAAATTGCACAATTGTTTCTATGCTGAACTTAAGAAGAACAGATAATAGACATCAAGCACAGAAGTTAACAACTTATTATCATACCATAACTTTAGCATGTCTATGATTTAAACTCAATCTTCTTTGATTGTAACTCTCTCTCACACTGATAGACGGACAGAGACAGTTAAGGGATAAATTAAAAAGAAAAGAGCTGTAACTGGCGAGTTTGATAACCATTTCAATGATGAGTACCAAGCCTTTATTTCAGGCACAAGGGATTGTATCTTGCTTCAATTCCAACGTCATTACTTAATGTAAACAGCCACCAAAATGCTCTGAGAAATATTGACTTATTTCTTATAAACTGGGATTTCTTACACGGAAAATTCAACAGTTCTTTAACCGAATATAAACCCTAGAGAGAGAGTAAAACTCAATCGCAGCTTCCAACTTTAGCAGCTTCCAAGCTCACAGCCTTCTTCCCAAAAAACCCAGTCAAAACCAATTCAATTATTGATTTCTCTTTCCTTTTTCAACAGCTGCTGTGGCCGACTAGCTCTTCCTTGATTAATCAACGCAACATCCAATAAGCTGTTTCAGAGACAGTAGGAACTGCAGATGCTGGAGAATCTGAGATAACAAGGTGTAGAGCTGGATGAACACAGCAGGCCAAGCATCAGAGGAGCAGGAAGGCTGACGTTTGGGCCTAGACCCTTCTTCAGAAATGAGGGAGGGGAAGGGGATTCTGAAATAAATAGGGAGAGAGGGGGAGGCGGATAGAAGATGGATAAAGGAGCAGATAGGTGGAGAGGAGACAGACAGGTCAAATAGGCGGGGGTGGAGCCAGTAAAGGTGAGTGTAGGTGGAGAGTTAGGGAGGGGATAGGTCAGTCCAGGGAGGACGGACGGGTCAAGGGGGTGGGATGAGGCTAGTAGGTAGGAGATGGGAGTGGGGCTTGAGGTGGGAGGAGGGGATAGGTGGGTGGAAGGACAGGTTAGGGAGGTGGGGACAAGCTGGGCTGGTTTTGGGATGCAGTTGGGGGAGGGGAGATTTTGAAGCTTGTGAAGTCCACATTGATACCATTGGGCTGCAGGGTTCTCAAGCGAAATATGAGGTGCTTTTCCTGCAACCTTCGGGTGGCATCGTTGTGGCACCGCAGGAGGCCCAGGATGGACATGTTGTCTAAGGAATGGGAGGGGGAGTTGAAATGGTTCGTGACTGGGAGGTGCAGTTGTTTGTTGCGAACCGAGCATAGGTGTTCCACAAAGTGGTCCCCAAGCCTCCGCTTGGTTTTCCCAATGTAGAGGAGGCCACATCTGGAACAGCGGATACAGTATACCACATTAGCAGATGTGCAGGTGAACATCTGCTTGATGTGGAAAGTCTTCTTGGGGCCTGGGATGGGGGTGAGAGGGGAGGTGTAGGGGCAGGTGTAGCACTTCCTGCGATTGCAGGGAAAAGTGTCGGGGGTGGTGAGGCTAGTGGGGAATGTGAAGCAGACAAGGGAGTCACGGAGAGAGCAGTCCCTCTGGAAAGCAGATAAGGGTGGGGAGGGAAAAATGTCTTTGGTAGTGGGGTCAGGTTGCAGATGGCGGAAGTGCCAGAGGATGATGCATTGGATCCGGAGGTTGGTGGGGTGGTACGTGAGCATGAGGGGGATTCTGTTTTGGTTGTTATTGCGGAGAGGGGGTGTGAGGGATGAGTTGCGGGAAATGCAAGAGACACGGTCGAGAGCATTTTCGACCACTGTGGAGGGGAAGTTGCAGTCCTTGAAAAACGAGGATATCTGGGATGTCCGGGAGTGGAATGCCTCATCTCAGGAGCAGATGTGGCGGAGGCAAAGGAATTGGGAATAAGGGATGGCATTTTTGCAGGAAGATGGGTGAGTGGAGGTGTATTCTAGGTAGCTCTGTGAGTCGGTAGGCTTGAAATGGATATCGGTTTCCAAGTGGCTGCCAGAGATGGGAACAGAGAAGTCCAGGAAGGAGAGAGAGGTATCGGAGATGGTCCAGGTGAACTTAAGATTAGGGTGGAAGGTGTTAGTGAAGTGGATGAACTGTTCGAACTCCTCGTGGGAGCACAAGGTGGCGCCGATACAGTCATCGATATAATGAACGTAGAGATGGGGGATAGGGCCAGTGTAGCTTCGGAAGAGGGATTGTTCCACATATCCCACAATGAGGCAGGCATAGCTTGGGCCCATGCAGGTACCCATGGCCACCCCCTTTGTCTGTAGGAAGTGGGAGGAATTGAAGGAGAAGTTGTTAATGGCGTGGACGAGTTCAGCTAAGCAGATAAGGGTGTCAGTGGAGGGGGACTGGTCGCGCCTGCGGGACAGGAAGAAGCGGAGGGCCTTTAGGCCATCTACATGGGGAATGCAGGTGTAAAGGGACTGGACGTCCATGGTAAAGATGAGGTTTCGGGGACCAGGGAATCGGAAGTTTTGGAGGAGGTGGAGGGCGTGGGTGGTGTCACGGATGTAGGTGGGGAGTTCCTGGACCAAGGGAGAGAAAATGGAGTCGAGATAAGTGGAGATGAGTTTGATGGGGCAGAAGCAGGCGGAGACAATGGGTCAACCAGGGCAGTCAGGTTTGTGGATTTTGGGAAGGAGATAGAAATGGGCAGTGCAGGGTTGGGGAATGATGAGGTTGGAGGCTGTGGGTGGGAGATCACCTGAAGTGATGACGTTGTGAATGGTTTGGGACTGCATCCCAAAACCAGCCCAGCTCGTCCCCACCTCCCTAACTTGTCCGTCCTTCATCCCACCTCAAGCCCCACCCACACCTCCTACCTACCAGCGTCATCCCACCTCCTTGACCTGTCCATCCTCCCTGGACTGACCTATCCCCACCCTAACTCCCCACCAACACTCACCTTTACTGGCTCCATTCCCGCCTCTTTGACGTGTGACTCCTCTCTACCTATCTGCTCCTTTATCAATCTTCCATCCGCATCCCCCTCTCTCTCTATTTATTTCAGAATTCCCTTCCCCTCCCCATTTCTGAAGAAGGGTCTAGACCCGAGACGTCAGCTTTCCTGCTCCTCTGATGCTGCTTGGCCTGCTGTGTTCATCCAGCTCTACACCTTGTTATCTCAGATTCTCCAGCATTGGCAGTTCCCACTATCTCTAATGTTTTATGTAGTTCCAAATCATCTCCCTGTTTTTATATTCTATGCTTCAATGAATAAAATTGAGCTTCTTCACCATCTTACCTGTCCTGTACCTTTAGGAATCCATAGACAATGTATGCTATGGTCTCTTTGCTTCCTAGCATCCTGTCATTTAGAATCAGTGTCATAGAGGTGTGCAGCACGGAAACAGACCCTTCGGTGGAACTCATCCATGCCGACGAGATATCCTAAAATAAACTAGTCCCATTTGCCAGCATTTGGCCCATATCCCTCTAAACCTTCCTATACATGCACCCATCCAGATGCCTATTAAATGTTGTAATTGTACCAGCCTCCACCACTTCCTCTGGCAGCTCATTCCATACCTGCACCACCCTCTGCATGAAAAAGTTGCCGCTGAGGTAATTTTTATATTGTTACCCTCTCAACTTAAACCTACACCCTCTAATTTTGGACTCCCCTACCCTGGATGGGTAATAGAGTTAACATTTCAGGTCTGGTGACCCTTCCTCTGAATGGTTCTGAGGAAGGGCCACCGGACCCGAAAGGTTAACTCTGATTTTTTCTCCACAGATGCTGCCAGACCTCTGAGCTTTTCCAGCAACTTCTGTTTTTGTTCTGGATTTACAGCATCCACAGTTCTTTCAGTTTTTAAAAGACCTTAACTATTCACCCTATCCATGCCCCTCATGATTTTATAAACTTCTATAATGTCACCGCTTAGCTTCCAATGCTCCAGGGAAAATAGTCCCAGCCTATTAAGCTTCTCCCAAGAGCTTAAACCCTCCAACCCTGGCAACATAGATCATAGAATCCCTACAGTGTGGAAACCAGCTATTCGGCCCAACAAGTCCACACCACCCCTCCAAAGACCATCCCACCCAGATTCCCCATGTCTAACCCACCTAATCTAAACATCCCTGTGCACTACGTGCAATTTAGCCTCGCCAATCCACCTAGCCTGCACATCTTTGGTCTGTGGGAGGAAACCAGAGCACCCAGAGGAAACCCACACAGACACGGGGAGAACGTGCAAACTCCACACAGACCAGTTGCCCGAGGGTGGAATCAAACCCGAGTCCCTGGCGCTGTGAGGTAGCAGTGCTAACCACTGAGCCACCATGCTGTGTATATGTATTATATATACCACAGGGAACAAGAGACCCCGTACTGAGCCCTGTGGAACTCCAACGGAAACAGCTTTCCAGTCACAAACACTGCCATCGATAAATAATAGATGCTTCTTGCCTCTGAGCCAAATTACCACTTTCCCTTAGATCCCATGGAGTATGTCTCTTCTGACCAGTCTGCCACTTGCAGAAAATTACTAAAAGCATTACTAAAATCCATGTAGATGCACCATGCTCAAAGGGAGGTTTGTTGTATTGCCACTGG